CCACCAGAATGGGACGGAGTATGTGCACCTGTTCATATCACAGATCACACATTCATTCTCTCCGCCACAGCAATGACCACACGCACGAAACGTGAGACAGGCCTACATCCTGATATAGATTTTAAACCCCATGATTCGGTTTGGGGTTCAAATGTCCCGGATGAATTTAAACATGCAGGGACAGGTAAATAGGTACTCTGGGGTCTGTTCCCCTGGGTAGGAGTGGGCAAAAATACTTTGCGTATTGAAACAGTTGACTACCGTTTTAAAAGCTTTGTGAGCATGACCTTAGCTGCAGCAAAAGGGGTCCGCGAAGAACTGACCTCCATGCGTTTAATGGTTATGCAGAACCGTATGGTGTTAGACCAGCTGACAGCAGTTCAAGGAGGCGTTTGCGCTATCGTAGGTGAACACTGCTGCACTTTCATTCCAGAAAATGATGCTGATGGTGGCGTTATTCACCAGGCAATATTGGACATGACTAAATTACAAGACGCCATGGCTAAGGATGCCACACCAGAACCTGACTTCCTCACTCAACTATGGCGAACGTGGCGTATGACCATAATACAATCCATTTTGATATTGATCGCTTTCATCGTTTTTGCTACCTGTGGCATCCCACTCATTTGACACATGATAAAGGGTTTAATTTCCAACCACATGGTGTTATACACTCGCGTACCCCCCGCAGATGACCAACCGGACCTTTTCCCCACCCCTGACTACCAAAGCGACACAGACTCTTACTCCGAGACTGATGAGGTGTAGACAAAGGGGTAACATGTGATTTCTTTGTTTTATTATTATTTAATATTTTTATTATCCAGACATATCTTGCTTGCTACATTACAGAGATCCTTTATCTCACAAAAACAGCTTTTCTTCAGATATCTCACATGATGATGTATTTTAAAACCATATTTTGGGAGAAATGCTTCTGATGTTATTGTGATGTCCTTGTAACATATTTTTGCAATATTGTGTGATTAAAGTATAATCAAAAGTTTTAAAGAATGTACTACTCGTAGTCAGGCAATGTTTTTTAATTAGTTTTGTATCCAGGTGTCTTGTTATCTTTTCCCACAATGGTGGGAAGTGAAGAGTCACTGTTTCTTTGTTGGTAAGAAAGAGACACAGCCTTGACTCCAGAACTGAATTTCAGAAATAGACATCCTGTGTCTGAAATACTTTTACTCCCCTTTTGACACATTATCTGAATTTGTAAAGGCGTGAACCTTTTGTATGCATAAATGATGATTGAATGTTGCACCTTTTAGAAGCCTTCTCACAGTACACTGAGATACATGTCTTTGGGACTGCTCTCTCTTTATTGCAATAAAGACCGACAACTCTGATTCTTTCGAGACTCTGTTTATTGATCCAGATTGAAAACTTCCACCCTTCTCCCGATTAATCTTAGAAATCTTCCCTCACAATATTCTTACACTACCAATAACAGTTCTGACAAAAGTCTGGTCGTACTCAGAAAATCTCCACATTTATATATGTCGGTAAGGATATTTATCGTATTAGACATTTGTGTGAAATTTTCATGATTAGCATATCAATTCTTGATTCATGGTCAAAAACTTGTTTTATGTGGTTACTGTGACCTTCGGCCTAAGTTTAGGCATACTTCCAAAATCTGAAGCAACGATAGTAAAGCTTATCAAAATGATTTAGCTCCGTCTGGACTGTAAGCTACAAAAGTTAGCTGCACTAATCAATATTTCTATATAAACAATGGATCAAATGACAATGTGAAATGTGAGAGTTGTCTCGCCGTGACAATCACCAACGCTGCGGTTCCCCTCAGCTCTAAAGGGCGCTTACACAAGCTGTCCCTTTGGCTAGTCTGAGCGAAATTGATACTTTTGGTTAATTTCTATTTACTCTGGTTTGGTATCACAGCGCACAAATTAAAGCAGACTCAAATTTGAAATAAGATTTTATTTTACTAAGCACTTTTCTACTTTCTTCACCTCCAGTTTTTCTTTTTCTTAAAATGACCTTATATACTGTACCTCACTGTTTTTTGTGAACTCAGCATGTTCTCTTCAGCAGAAGTCCAAGTCAGTCCTCTCCCACCCATGTTAACCTGTCCTTTACCTGCATACACCTCAACCAGTGCCTGCACAGGTAGCCCTTTTAAACCCTTGGTTTGCTTCCTGTAACTGGGTTGGATTATGTTCTCACTGCCACAGCACTGCACTATAGAGTTCACCTCTCGCAAGCTTTTTCTGAACAGTTGTCATGGTCTGCTCCAGCCTACTTTGATTAAAACTGACTAAATGATGGCGTGTGAAAGTGCCCTTAGCCTCTTTCAGCTCATACTTTTAGTTCTACTCTCATCAAGCCAGTCTCCAGCAGCAAGCAGCTGTTTGCTGCTGAGCAGAGAGCGCACAGAGCTTTCTTACTGCAAACAGCAGACAGACACAGTTGGCAACCAGCTGGTGAACATAGTGGAGCATTTAGCAGCTAAAGAGACAGATATTTACCTCAGGAGTAGGTGAAGACCAAACGTTCTGTTGAGTGTATAGATAAGAAATAGTTTGCTAAAAAGTTAACCATGATGATTTTATTCATTTTGTGTTTTTTTAAGCTTCTTGCCCCCAAGTAGGCGAGAAATGTGTTACTGCAGCTTTGAGGTAGATGGCACAGTTCCACGATGGCAGATTCGATTCTTTTGTCAAATTTTCCCAACATAATTTCACAATGCAAGACTAGCAGGAGACTAAGCACCTGAACGTTGCCTTCAAGACATGACAAAAAAAATGGTAATTCAACCTATTTATTATTGGAAAATGACTCAAAGCAAACATATCCCAATCTAACATTGATGAGAGAACCTCCTGTCCCTGCTTTTCAAATGGTTTTTCATGTCTTTGAGGACCCAATATACACCCACCAACCAGCAGGGAATGGGATTTGAAGTGAAAAAAAGAAGAAAAAGGCTGTGTTGATGCTTTGGCAATATTGTTTCAGTTTCGCAACAATTTCATGCTCAAGAGAATTGACCCGAGAAGGAAAGAGAGTAAGAAAGTCAGGAGAAAAGAGAGACGGGGAGAAAGCTGACGGCACGATGAGTAAATCCCTGCAGTGTCCAACTTAATTCCTGTGAAATGTCAGAGCTGTGTTGCAAGACTTACATCACACACACACACACACACACACACTGAGAGAGAGCAAACTAAAGGAATGATCTGGGATAGAAACGGACTGAGATAAATCAGGATCTTCAGGTCATGAGGACAGAGCTTTTGGATGGTATTATTGTTCATCTCTTGCTGTTTTTTTTATCTCCAGCTGAGACAGACTGTCAAGTCTAGACACAGCATGAAGAGGGACTGCGCAAAAGAAGTTAAGGGTTGTAAAAATAACAAAATAACCTTTATCACCGTACCGTATCTTGCACCATGCACATAGTTTTTGTTTTATGTAACAAGTTTTAGAGACATCCACAACAGTCATAATGAACAATCATAATGAAAGCTGTTGACAGTTTATGCAGAGGTGGCTGAACTATATTTACACAAACCCTGAACTCTAAGTACACTAATCCTGAACTCTGAGTAGACTAACCCTGAACTCTGAGTAGACTAACCCTGAACTCTAAGTACACTAACCCTGAACTCTGAGTACACTAACCCTGAACTCTGAGTAGACTAACCCTGAACTCTAAGTACACTAACCCTGAACTCTGAGTACACTAACCCTGAACTCTAAGCACACTAACCCTGAACTCTAAGCACACTAACCCTGAACTCTGAGTACACTAACCCTGAACTCTGAGTAGACTAACCCTGAACTCTGAGTAGACTAACCCTGAACTCTGAGTAGACTAACCCTGAACTCTGAGTACACTAACCCTGAACTCTGAGTACACTAACCCTGAACTCTTTGTAGACAAACCCTGAACTCTAAGTACACTAACTCTGAACTTTGAGTAGACTAACTCTGAACTCTAAGTACACTAACCCTGAACTCTAAGCACACTAACCCTGAACTCTGTGTAGACTAACCCTGAACTCTAAGTACACTAACCCTGAACTCTAAGTACACTAACCCTGAACTCTGAGTACACTAACCCTGAACTCTGAGTACACTAACCCTGAACTCTGAGTAGACTAACCCTGAACTCTTTGTAGACTAACTCTGAACTCTAAGTACACTAACCCTGAACTCTTTGTAGAGTTGATACTTTTGTTTCAATTCATATGCCCATCACCCCCTCCTTTAAATGATGCCCACCCCCCTCATCAACAGATAGGAGTCCTTATAAAATGCACTCCCACATTTTGTTATTCATGTATGAAGACCAAGAACAACAATTAAGTTTAAAAAACAAAAAAGAAATACAAAGCTGTTCATTGTAGGAGCTTAAATTCTTGCAGTTCTGGCAGCTTTCAGAAGTTGTTAATGCTAAAGTGTATTTTTAATGCAGGGCTAATGAGTTACAAATAAATACATTTCCCAGAGTCACAGTGGAGACTAATTACTAAATGGAACTAACAAAAAAGAAAAGAAAACAAGGCCACAGGAGTGAAGCTTTGCACAGGGCAACACCGGACAAATGCAGAGAATTCACCTGAGAGAGAGACAGAAAGTGTTGTCCAATGGACACTGGCTGGAAAACACTCAGCAGTGATCTCATGTGAATGTCCAACATGTGCCGAACACACAGCACATGAGAGCATTTCATTGCAGTGTGTGTGATACTTTGTGATACATAGCGATCTGTGGCATTTATTTTTTTAATTTTGCACCTCTCTCACTGCAACATATCCAATACACCCTTTTTAATCATGGCGGGGTACTTTGTCCTGCTTCCTCGTGAGGAGTTACGAGTTCATTAACGCTGTATTCTACATTCACATAATGATCTATTCTACGTGTGTTGACTGACTGTTACTTTTTTAGGGTTTAGGCTAAGAGGAGGCACTGGCACTTCGAATGCTTGTTAAACGAGTAAAGTCTTGCTCATGCCTCCCACTCACGTGCCGTTGACGACTCCGTCCGGGTTGAGCATGGGGATGAGCTTGAAGACAAAGGCCTCCCTCAGACTCTGGGCCACCGGGTCACTGCTGCACAGAAACTCCAGCGTGCCCTTCATCACCCAGCTGGCATTGGACTCACCGGGATGGACTCGGCCTGTTAGCATGATATAGGGACGATTACCTGGATGGAGACAGAGACATGATGCGCAGTAAGTGGGGAGTGTCAGAATCTTGTTCAGTCACTTGTAACCTTTTCCTACCAAAATGATCACATATGTGCCTTTTTTTTTTTTTTAAACCTGCTAAAAATAAGTGACATCTTTTGACGTCACGAACGGCCGGAAAACTGGGTTAGAAAACAGAGACAACATTCCGTCAGTTCTTTTTTTTAATATATGTTACTTATTCATTCTCTCAGTTGGTGAATGTTGGAACAGCGAAAATACTAACAGTCTGTTGTGATGACTTTTATTTTATTTTTATTTTTTTAACAACAATCAGCTCCTTAAAATTACTGTTTCTGTCAACGGAGTCTCGTAGCTTTGAGGAGGGCATATAACGGCTGTTTCTCTTACATCCAACTCAGTGAAATAAGGGTTTATTTCAACCAAACCTGAGTTGGTGATCGTTGGAACAGTGGTTTTAATCATTTTGCATTTTGTTTCTGTTTGAATGAAGTGTGTTCCCACGATCAGCGAGGTAAAATTACTGTTGTCTGACTTGAGTCTGGTGGCTTTGAGGAGAGCATAATAATTGTATGCTTTGTAAGTTGAGAAATCATAATTACCGTTGTTGTGGTTTTTTGATGAGCCGCTAGAAATCTTGCCCTACTTGTTTATCTACGTCATCCCCACCCCCCCTATCTTCACCCGGGCTCCAAGGCCGCTATACTAGACTCCCTGTCTCAGTGATGTGAATAACATATGACAATGATACGGGCCAATATCACAATATGAATATACATGGATACATTTCAAATGATGGATATGATTGATTTTACACAAATATATTTCAAGACACACATACATTTTTCTCCCACACTGTCCAAATCTCTGTTGATTTTATTATTTACTGATTTCAACACGTCCAAAAATTAGTATGTCCCCCCGGGTGTCATGGAATGAATGAATATTTATTGTGACATTTATCACTGAAGACAAAAGCCAAATATTTTGTGTTTTTTGTCCAGTTGGAAAGTGCCTTTAGTGTATCAGGGATCCTACCTGAGAAATTGAAGCAACAGTACTGTTTCTAAACTGAGCGGTACCCTGTCATCCAATGGAGAGCCGCACCATATATTGTTATCTGGTCGACATTTCCTGTGTTCTGTGATTGTCAGGCATCATTCAATTATCCACATCCGGTTTTTAATTAAAGCTGCGCTGATGCCATGTCCTCTATGGCCATCACAACAATCTATTAAGCTCCGGCGGCAGTGGTGACAGATGGGCAATTATGTTGTCTACCAGAAGCCATGTGTGATAATTGCAAGGTTGCGCAAGGGTCATACATAACATGTCTGAGTGTCAGAGATTAGAATGCAAACGTTGTGCAGATAGCATCTCAACAGATGGGAGAGCGTGTGATCAGTCAGGGTTGTTTGAGCTCTATGTCAGTCTGCTATTTGGGAGATATTTAGGGAAATGGTGTCTGAATCAGCAACAGGTGGATAGACAATGGCCTGTCCTGATTTCATTCATCAGAGTTTAAAGGGATTATTGAGGATCGCCTCAGACCAGCCTGCTTTTCTAAAAATGACTTTCCTATACAACAAAACTGCATTGGCAATTACGTTTCAAGGGAAACATAGTTCCTGACGCATACATTTGTTTTGGACAAATCACCCATTACCACCCAAAAGTTGCTACAAAAATGAAACAAAGTTGTAATTAACTGTGATTTTTCTATAAAAGACATAAGTCTTTGTTGTAGCTAGAAGAAGGATAAAAACACTGTTCCAGTCATTTTCATGATCATAGATTTTCCTATCATATGGTAATTAATGGAAACCCCAACTGAAGTTCCTTGAATGGCCACTTGAGGCGGGCTCAAAAATGGAGTCAGAACGCCATGTTAAAATGCCCAACTTAACAGAAAATGGTACCTGGAACAAAAAAGAAGGTTTTGGTCTCTATAGCTAATATCTCATTCATGACAACTTTATTGGGGGTGAATTTCTATGTGACTCGCCTGTGCTAATGACATTAAATTATGAAAATTAAATAAAGTTTTACATAATTAAGGGCACGGCCGCTTTGAGAGAAAAGCTTTTTGGTAGCCAAAATAAGCATCCCAACTAATATCATAGTTAACCTGAACTACGGATGCACCTTGTTAACCAAGCTAGCTGTCTAGTGCTACCGCAAAATATTACTTTAGCATTTGTTGTGCTAACGGTACTTGGCACTGATGGGCCTTGCTCTTCCAGCTCCTCACTTCTTTAGACATGGGCAGTGTTCAAAATCACATTCTAACTGCATACTACATATTGCCTATCTAAATCCTTACTTTCTTGCTTGACAAAATAATTATCGCATAATGAAGTGATACATTAACAGCTTATAGGCTGGTTCAAAGTCTCCCACAACTGACGACCGGTCTTAAGGCACCCAGATGCAATGCATTGTGGGGCAGTTGAGTTTGTGCAGTAAGCTCACGTCTCATACTTTATGCACGGTTTCAAACAGCCATGGTAAGTTTTGGCCTCAAAATACCAAGAAGGCGACTGCCAAAATGCTAAACTTCAAAACCGTGGTCCACAAACCATTGGATGACGTTGCAGTGACTACGTCCACTTCTTCTATACAGTCTATGACTTTAAACCACTGGTATGTTCCCGGTCCCACTTGTTCCGCTGCAGAGATTCACTGCCTCCTACAGCTCACTGGTCAAGCAGACGAGGCTTCCCACATCACTACTGGCCTGCAGCCGGTTCAGGCCCATTACCATTGGCTTATTACTCTAAATTGGTTATAATGAAGTCTGGTACAATGGACTGAGAAGTGTTGGAACATTAGTTGCAGATAGTGAGATGGGTGTCACATTTGCTTCTCATCATCTGTCTTCATCATTAACTCTATATATAGAGTTAAGAGCTTCAACACTGGATTAATATGGATGTTGAAATAGTTTTATTCTTTTTCTACTCTTTAGTTTTCATCTTTGGCTTTCATGGAGAACCCACAATTTAATATCCTTTGATGAATGTCGAATTCTTTCATTTGTATTCACTAATGGTGGCCCCGTCCTGAGGCTGTTGTGAGAGCAGCTGCATCTCACACAGGACATGTTTGAAGCAGGTGATGTTAGTGACATCCCGCCCACAGAGCGCTGTGTGGGTGTGTGTGTGTGTGGTTGTGTGTGTGCTGTCCTGTCATCACCACTTTGGGTAAATCCCCACATGCATTTTGTTCCCCCCAGAAAGGTGTCTTTGCCTCAATTTCACACCTGAAAAGAAAGCAACATTTTAGTACTGCAATGTGATACAATGGTTGGCTCACAGCGATTGCTTTGTGATTTGGCGAAAAAACCACACACTAATAAAAGACTAGAAAAATATTTTAGAGGGGATACCAGAGGCTGCGATAAACCAACCGCACAGTGTTTCTGTCTGTCTCTTTTTATTGGGATGAAAATGTACAAAACCTCGCTCTGCTGCTGCTTTAATATATATATTCTTTTGCTATTTTCAATCTTCTTCTTTTACTTTATAAAACGCTCTTCCTGCGAGACAAAAAAAAGAACTGTAAGCTCTTCACAGTTGAAGACACATCTGACATTTCAGAATGTTCATTTGAAGTTAGGCAATTTCTGTATTGCAATATTCAAAGAGTTGCTTCAACAACCTTGGAATGAATTTTAAACAAATGTTACATGTTATTGTTGTATGTCTTTATAGTTAACTGCTTTTGCAGTTTAATAAACATACTTAACAGATCATGATACATGCTCCATTAGGTGTCAAACAAACTGCGATTTTAGAATGTCACCGACCAAGCAAACTAATCACAGGGACGGCACAATGTTTGTTTGAGGTAATAGTTTCACAGCTTCACCATTTCCTTTGCACATTGCATTGTGGGAGAATAGCATCGTGCCACAGCACACTTCTTCCACATGCGCGTAACCTGCTTACAATTTATAAAGAGTATGGGATTGGGACACAGCAAGTACAGCCTGGATTTACTTGGTCGGCTGTGGCTCGGAGGTAGAGCGGGCGGTTCGATCCCCGGCTCCTCCAGTCCATGTCGATGTGTCATTGGGCAAGATACTCAACATCCCAGGATGATTTAATGCAAAAATATTAAGGTATCAAACACGCATTACTACTTTGCACTTAAATATTTAACATTTATTCCAACACGAAAAAAAGCAGTAAATAACACTTTGATAAACACGTCAGGACATCTTATTTTTGTCACCCTCACAGGGAATTCAGTATAATATATATATACACAGTGTATATATATATTCACCTGGTGCCTAGATTTTGTTTATCCTTTACATAAAAAAGACATTTACACCATTTACTGGTGCATAAACATTCACCAGGATTTGAGAGTTTGACTCTGACAATTACCCCCAGACCCCCTGCTTAATATCTTTATGAAAGAGTTGAGGCCCCCTCTATGTGCTTATCAGTGTATTAAAGACTGAACATCAAAACCTACAACTCTGAAGCTCACCAGGGGGCACTTGGTAGAAAATAATAGTAGAATGAGAATGATAAACTGCATGCATGATGCAAACGTGTTAGCCACTGTGCAATTCTTTAAGACTGCTTAAGTTTGATCTCAAAATACACCGTCTGGCTTGTTCTTATGATGCATTCCTAATAAAATAGGACTTTCATAGTTTGTCACTCAACATACAGTGTACAGGAAACATACAGTTTCTGCTCCTTACTTGTATAGTGTCTTTTCAAAATAAACGATGTTCACAGGAAACCCACAGTTTCTAAATGTTACATACATACGGCATCCTTTCAAAATAAACTTACGTGTTCACAGGAAACAAAGTTTCCTCTCGTTACATGCAAGATTTGTTTCAAAATGAACTGTGTTCACAGGAAACATACAGTTTCTGCTTATTACATGGGAAGTGTCTTTTCAAAATAAAGTTCTTGGTTCCCAGGAAATGTACAGTTTCTGCTCATTACATTACTTTTCAAAATAAACTTCC